CTAAGGGAATGTTTGGTCTCTCACAGTTTAAATCTCAAAAAGTCCATTTCCATTATCAACATTTGCTAACAATTTGTTTAGGTTTCAAAAGCTTGTCCAAAATCGCATTTCCTCAACTGATCCATGGCAGGTGAAAGTTGGTTAGCAAAACCTCACAAGGCCTTGCTTTCAGCTTTAGCCTTTTGGATTTTATATCATTTTTATAATCTCATATATATATATATATATTTATATAATTCGACATACCAATTTTTTTGGACCAGGACATACGAAATTTACTGTTTATATATTTTTTAACAAATGAAATTTTATATTCTTTATAATAATTATATATTTGAAGAGAAATATTCATATTTAGTGTCTAATTGTAATTCAAACAAAATGTCTATACCCTCTAATAAAAAGATACATATATGCTTTTGATAACCACGCAAGGTCAATGATCTCACAATACCCTCCATCCGCATACACAATATTTTTATTACTTTATTTTAATACTAGTATATTAATAAGGCTTTCTTCTCCTATAATGCAAAATGAGTTGTACCAATATAATTCTTTATATATATATTAAAAATTTATATATTGATAAATGATTCATTATAATGGAAATTGATCATTAATTAGTCCCTTTTTTCAGAAAGACATTAATCCAATGTAAGGGGGGAAAAAAGAAAGACAATAATCAGCCTCTTCATTTTCGTCCCAAAAATTAATAATTAAAATATTATGCATACCTTTGATAATTAAAAAAAAACCCATCAATTAATCCAAGTGTTTATTCCTCTACTCCCTTCACTTTTATTTATGGCATACATTCTAAGAAGGTTTTCTTAACCTTTAACATATGTCATTTTTCAGTTTTTCTAAATATACCCTTTATAATTATAATCCTCCGATTTTTAATATAGGACCTAACTGTTAAGTTAATTTTAGTTCTAAATATAGGATCTATTTCTTATATTTATCAATTTTTTTTAAATTACTCTTGTAGATACTCCCTCAACCATAATCAAATAAGTGAGGGATAGAGAATATTAATAAAGATGATTATGATGTTTTAGGAAATACATGTCATATTTCTTATAATTAACTAACTTACTTAACTTTCTAAATCTAATCAAATTAGTTAAATAGATCTTATATGAAGGATCAGAGGAGTATTATGCAATTCTCTCTCTTTGACACCCTAATCTAATCAATTTGGAGAACAAAAACATGCCATAAACTCCATGGGCCAAAAAAAAAAAAAACAGAGCCCTGCCTATCAATATGGTTAAAGACTTAAAGGTAATTTTGGAATGTTATGTTAATTTAAGAAAAAAAATAAAACCACTAATTAATTGTAACCTTTTTTAATCAGTTAAGAATATTTATAGCATATCCTCTCCCACACTCAAACACTGGTTTTAGAGGAGCTAATCATGATAATTATTTGGCTTTTTAGAAAGCAAGGCGTACTCAAATACTGTGGTTTTAAATATTTAATAATCATGCACACGTGGTTTCCTCAGAAGCAATAATATTATTGTTGAAAGGGAAATTGTTGGATATTAATATATCCTTATTTGTATTTTTTTTCAGCAAAAAGAATATAAACATAGAGAGAAAAAAGTAATCATGAGAATGTCTTCTTAATTAATACTCCTCCGGTCCTAATTATAAGACCCAATTGACTTATTTGAGGAGATTAAGGAAGTAAGTTAAGTTGGTTATTTATAATAAATAAGTGTTGTCATTCCTAAAATATCCTTGCTAATTAAGTATATTGGCTAAAACTATCATTATTAGAAGGATTATCTTGGAAAAAAATGCATAAATATAAGAGACAAAATGGATTGGGTCTTATAATTAGGACCAAATAAAAAGTCAAATTGGATCTTATAATAAGGACCGGAGGAGTATTACATTCTAAAATTATCCATCAATTTTCTTGATGGAAAGGGTAATGCCTTGTGGTTTTTATGTGACGCGTGTCAAACGGTGGTTGATTAATTCTTCATGCTTGTGGATATGTGTTGATTTTTCATTGGCTCATAGTCAATTAGTACTGATTTTCACTGGTCGTGTGTGAACAGCCGACTCAGATTACATTTTTCTTTTCTTTTCTTTTTCAAAAACCGATTTTTATATTTTATTTTTTATTTTTTTTGGTCCCCTTCAAAATGTTGGTGTCTTTATTTTCATGAGAACTTGAATTTGAGCTTAATAGTCTTAATTTATAAATGATTAAATCGATAAAAATATAGGGACTTAGAATGGCTTATATATAAAAGCCTAAATTAAAACTTGTTTAAAAAAATAAAGATGAAAATCAAAACTTACTAAATTAATTCACCAAGCTTCCGGCATTTGAATTGAACGCTCATTTTCTACGATTTTATTACTCTTTCGTTTCCTTTTTACAAACCACATTTCGGGTATATGTAAACATTTATTGTATTTTTTTTATTTTTATCTTCAGTTAATTATTTCTCATCTCTTTTTTCACTCTTTATCCCTTCCATTCATCTTTTCCAATGTTCATTAATAAGAGTTTTTTTGAAAAACAAATTACATTTTTTACATATTTATTGATTATAACTAATTTTAATAATTTTTTATTAACGTGATTCGTTTAGTCGTTTTGGAGAAATGAACAGAGAGAGCTCTGATTATACTATTTCTTCTTTTTAAAATTCTAATTTCAAATATTTTGATTATAAATTTAAATAAATTAATATACTGATCCAAAATGTCATTCTCGTTAAGTTAATTTCCCCACGCGGAAAAGTACGGATACGCGACATTAGATTCCTTCAACGGACAATATTTAATGGGCATCCGCAATTCAAATTTTAATCAATTCCATGCACGACCTAAGCTTGTAGTTGTATTAATTATTTAATTTTGAAAATTAAGTTCTTTTTTTTTGATAAATTGAAAATTAAGTTCTATTTAAACCAGAAAAACTTATAGACATTATATAATGGGAGAATTACAATGAAGTCCCAAGTAAGGAAAACAATTGAAAAACAAGTCCCAAAAGTTGTCATTCTCACTATAAGACTTGTCATTGTAAGCTGTTAAAATTGTTATTGAGACTTTTTAGAAATTATTTCTCTGTAGGACTTGATTATAATTCCCCCTTATATAATTCGTATTATTTTCAGATAAAGCTGAACCGCAAATTAGTACTTATATTACAGTATTGAGTCATCAAAATTAGGCAAGCTAATGCATCATATGTAAATATATAAATACTCACTCGATTCTTAATATATGACCTAATTGTTAAGTTAATTTTGGTTCTAAATATAAGACATATTCTCATATTTATCAATTTTTTTTAAATTACCTCTATCGATATTCTCCCAATTATAATCAAATAGAAAAGGGAGAGAGGATATTAAAGAAGATGATTTTGGTGTTTTAAAAAAAATCATATTTTTTATAATTAACTAATTTATTTAACTTCTTTAATCTAATCAAATTAGTTAATTAGATTTTATATTAAGGACCAGATGAGTATTTAAATATTTTTACAAGAAATTTGAAAATCTACCGACATGCCTGATACTCAATCAATGATCAAAATCAAATAATCGGATAGTCAGGCAGGTTGAATAGTCCGTGGACAAACAATTCTCCTTTTCATTTTCCAATTCTTAATTATCATAAAACATATTAGAAATATCAAGACAAAAAATCACATCTCAATTTTCTTGATTTCTCCAAATTTCCAGCAATCAGTTTGTTCCATTTTTCATAGACATTGGTTGAAACAAACAATTGAAGTGGCAAGTGGAAACTATATATGCTGCTAAAAAGCAACAATTATATATGTTCCAAAAAATTAAAAAAATGAAGGAAAGAAACCAAAAGAAGAGAGAAGAAAAGCAAGCGTGTATTAGGCTTTAATCATCATTGTTAGAGGCCAATCTCCAACTTCTTTAATCCTCATTTTATAACCTCATCATGGAGGCCATTTTATTTTTATGCATCCATATAAGCATATCGACCATATCTTTCATAAAACTTAGAATAACACTATTTATTTGCAGATAATCTTTAGTAACTTAACTTGAAAAATGCTCATTTAATTAAGATAGTACCTATTTGCAATACTATTATAGTTATTATTTGCTAGTCAATTATTATTATTATTATTATTATTATTTTGGTTGCAATGCCATTATAGTAACTCATGATTAAACTTGTGTTTGTAAATATAGTGATAATTCGCCCTACCATTTTAATCACTTCACAAGTCTCAAAATTTTGATTGTTTTTTATACACACACATATGTATATTATTTTGCATTGTTTTACTAGGAAATTTACTTGTAACAAGAGAGATGACATATGAGGATTTTTTTTTTTTTTAAGTGAGAGGCAGTAAGATCATCTCATCCACCTTTGCAGTTTGTTTGAATCTGCAATAAATAAGTATATTTCAACATGAGTCCAGATAAAATTTTTCTCATATACATATTTATTCCGTATTTTATAGTTATTCTGTATTTTTTGTTTATAAATCATTTTGAATAAGTCCTAAGATTCTATTGTTGTTATGTCATATTTTTAAGGGAAAAGAGGGGGGAATTACAATCAAGTCCCACAAAAGAGAAACAATTATCAAAAAATCCTAATAACAACCTTAACAGCCTATAATGACAAGTCTTATAGTAAGAATGACAATTTTTTAGACTTGTTTTTCATTATTTTTCTTGTTTGAGACCTTATTGTAATTTTCTTTATCTTTAATCTTGGGGGATTAATTTGAGTTTTGAATCATTTAGGGGTAGTTTATTATTATGGTTTTACCCCGCGTGGAAAGAGCGGATGTGGAGAATTGGGAGGCCACTTGCAGAGTGTGACAACAAAATCCAAAGCCGACAAGTCATCCCAAGGACTTCAGACTTGACGACTCACTTCATTTCATTTCCATCAAAACAATAAAACCCAAACCGCAAACCGGATTCAACATTCATTCCCTTCCTTCTCTCCCTCTTCTCTCTCTCTCTCTCTCCATAATAGCTTCTTTCATTTTAGTAAGCAAAGCCCCACTCAAACTCTCTCTCTGCCCTTCCCTCCCCTGTTAGACAAATCCAGACGCTTCTTCTGTCTCAACCAATCTAACTCTTAATTCCTATTCTTCTTCTCTCTTTCCCCCCATTTTTCTTGGAAATTTCTTTTCTCTTCATTATCCTCCCCACCACCCCTCACCTTTTTCCCGTGACTCTTCATTACTTTACCTCTCTCTCTCCCCCCTCCATATATATATCTCTGCGGTCTTCCTTTTTTGGTCAACACGAGTCTTTCTGTTTCTCTCTCCCATGGCTTCTTCTTCTATTTCCCAAGGTCTTGTTCTGACCACCGCTATGCTTGTCTCCAGCACCGTTCTTTATCTTGGTTTCCTCAGACAGAAGACTTTCCCTCTTCCCTATCTTCCCGGCAATTCAAATTCAAATTCCCAACACCCAAACAAGAAAGCTCTCCGTTCTTGCTTATACTCAGGTTACTTCACTTCCCCTGTTTTTCTGTTTGTTATTTCGTTTTCCTTTCTGATCGATGCTTCTTCTCGTCGCTCGCTTGAGAAAGTTTTGTTCTTTGTTCATTTTTTTTTGTTGGGTTTTCCAGAGGAAAAGAAAAGGGAAAGCAGGATGAAGAAGACGAAGACGAAGAGGGTGAAATTCGCAGATAATGTGAAGGAAGAACCCGAAACCGAAACCAAGAAGAAGGATCTCCGAGAAAAACAGGGGAAGCAAAGCAGAGCATCGAGCAGTTGCAGATACGAAATCCCAGAGATCCGACGAATGCCAGAGAATCGAATCGCTTTGTACAACGGGATTCTGAGAGATCGAGTTCACAGGCTGGAATACTCTTGCTGACGATGAAGTCGTCGTCATCATCATCGTCATCTCAAGGCTTTCAGTTCTGGATTCATCGTCAAGAACTGAAGATCGAGATGCCAACAGGTACAGGAAACTCCAAGAGACGAACAAGACTTTGTCGTGTCCCTCTGTACGAAGCGTTTTCTTGCGTTTCGATCGTTTAATTTAGGAATTAATTAATGAGTTGGTAGTAATTTTCTGTTTGTGGAGAGGGAAGTTATGAAAAATCTGAGAGAATTCGTGTGGCTGTAAATAAAGAGAGAGAATAGGGAGCTTGGGCCAACTCAAAGAGGTTTTCCTTTCAGCTGTCTTCAACCCTCATGATGGACAGAGTTCTGTATCTCTTTCAATTTGTGTTTGGAATTACTTCTCTGTTCCTCCACGACATTGACACCAATTTTTTTTTTTAAATTTATTCTCTTCCTACCCTCACATTTCTTCCCTTTTTTTGTTTTTTAATATTATATTTTTTCGTCTTCAGCTCCAAAAAAGATTATACTTTTTCGTCAAATAAATACTAAAATACTATAGATGTGGTGGAAACAAAATAGCACTGTTTTCATATTTCCAAGGTCGAACAAGATTTTTTTTTTTTGGTTGATAAGAAGACATGGTACTTCATAATTATTAAGTTTAATATAATTTTTAATTTTTAAAATTTGATCTCATTTTAACTTTTGATTTAAAAAAACATTGATTTCAAATTTTAGTAATGAAAATCAAATTACATTTTAAAGATTAAAAATTATATTAACTTTAAACATTAAAAATTCTTTTAATATTTCAACATATAAATATACTTACACATGGAGAACGAGTTTAAAACTTTATAACCACTTTGAAAAAAGGATATGTGCTGTTAGACCCAATATGTTTTGACAACATGCTTTTGATGACCCAAAAAAAAAAAAGCAAGAAAAAATTTATAATTTTTAATGGAGAGTTTTTTTTGGCCAACTTCTAATGGATGATTGAGGAATATTATTTATAATATACAGGAATTATACTTGCATTTTGAATTATTTTTACTTGTGTTTATAGAATATTGTTTGATAATGATTTTTTGGACCAAATTTTATTGATGAGAACAATTTTTTATGGCAATTTTCACGTGTTGTTGGAAATATTTTAAGAATTTATTCTTTAATACTCTTTAGGTACTAAATATAAAACTAATTTTATAATATAAATTATATTACAAAATAGTTCTTATATTTAAAATCAGAAGAGTATAATCTTTCTCAGAATCATTATTTTATCTTCCATAACTACCAAGATGGATTTTTTCCCCGCAACTTTCTAAGAATCATATTTTTGTGTCCTGTGATACCCTTTATCCAACCCATCACATTCAACAAACCTATTCTAGTATCTTCGTCAAGCCCCCAATAAAATCTTCCACTCAGATATATTGGTTTCATTATTTATGTTCGTTGGTTTTATGATTTGTGAATTTGTTTGTTTCTATGGCATGTTTAATCATGCTCTTTTGTTTGATTTGTTTGATCTTTTGGAAGAATGGAACTTTCTAATAATAATTAACGAGTTGTACCGTACTGCCGTCGCATTATAAGGTTTTATATTATATTACAAATGAAAATTATTGATTCATCATGTCTTAAATAAAAAGAATTAATACATGGATTTGCTTTGATGTTAAACATAAGAGTTTAATATTCTGGTAAAAAAAAAAAAGAGTTTAATATTATTTATCTCTCAACTTTTTTTCAAAATATCTTTTAATTACATATATACGTGAGTCTCCATCAATGAGGATTATTTCTAAGACAAATTATTAGAAGTATTTTGAGAAAACCAATATGCTCTTCTTTTTTTTTTAACAAATAATCAATATAACTATTTTTTTAATATTCATAAATTAGTTATCTGACTTCTATAATCATAAACAAGAAGAGTAGTATTTATGAAATGCTATTAAAAAAAAAATCTCAAAACAACCCGAGAAAAAAATAGGTGCCATGTTTGGACACTTCTTTGTTGCATTTTCCCTCCTACTTTGTTACTTTTCAGGTGCTAAATATAAGACCCATATCACATACCATATATTTATCTAGATAAAGCTTATTCTAAGTGATTCGGGACTGTTCGAAGAAAATATATGAGAAAAATTTTATATCCTAGAATGCAAAAGTTTTTTTTTTCCCCTCTCCCCCCCCTCCCAGTGAAGGAAAATGGGAGGCTGGTGGGGCCTTATAGCCTAACGGCTGATATCTCAAGTTTAATCATGCATGCCATCTGTTAGAGCAGACAATGAAGATCCGTGAATAGTTGGGCAAGAGCAGAAGGAATCACATGGGAGGAGAAGAACCAAAGAAGCAAATTAGATCACAGAAATCCTTAAGGCAGAAGAAGAAGTACCATGATGATGCTCTGTGAAGATTAATGAAGGCAGCCCCAACTGATTTGACCAACCCAACTTTTGTCTCAAGCCAATCCAATTACCTAACATTCACCTTGATTTCCCACCACTAATCTTCTCCCCTCAAGTACCGATATTTCATGTTTCACTTTCTCATCTTCACGTGTTATCTCTTTCAACTCTCTGGAGTTTCACATATTCCACAAATTTCTCTCATCTCTCATGCATTGGTTTGACTGTTCGACTAGGTTCAACATTTGGTTACGGAATGGTTCGAGAGGGGCTATGATGATTTGAAATATCTAACGACATCAAGATTATCTGGACCCCACGTTCCCAAATTGATTGATTTATGTGTGTTGATGTGTTCTTCTCCAATTGGGTGTAGGTACCTACCTACCCTGCAAGAGTACCAAGTGCCTTGCAGCCAGCGCCTCTAGCCTGTAAGAGGAGAGTCATGGGTTTGATTCTGAAACCGAGAAGAGGGTTCGTTTGGCATGAGCCAAAGGATTAAAAAATTTATACTATGAAGTAATTCTTTTACTAATGACGGGGTATTTTGTTTAATTTGAACCAATATACTCAACTCTCATTAAAAGTTTGATTTGTTAAACAGATACTACACAGAATTTATATAGTTCCTCGGTTAGATTAGATTAGATATGATGTCGTTTAGGACGACCGTGTTACAGAGCCGCCTCATATATGACCAAATACAAGTGATACATTAGGCTCAATAAAATTCAAGTAACTTGAACTTTGTAAATGAAATAATGGAAGCTCCATCAGCAACTGGCTACAGAAGGGGAATAGTGGACCCACTACGAAAACAAGTGAACTTGGCCCAGCAGTGCTATTGTTGAATTTGAATTCTGGAACTCGTAGAAAAATATCTCCACAAAAAATCAATATGAATAAAGAAGAGCATTTAAATATCTCAAAAAGGAATTTCAATCATGCTCCAACATTAGGGGCAAAAATAAAATAAAATTCAGCCACAAAAGCTTGCTGCTATTCAAAATTCAAAATTCTCCAGAACTATTATACAACATGTTAGTGTGGAACTACTAAGTTAACCCAACTCACTAGCCAAAATCAGTACTTGCAACACAAAGCAAGAATCAAGGTTTGGCCCCTCTTTCCCATATTGACAAAGAGAAGGAATATCAGGGTCAGCCCCACATTCATTTATACTCATCATTCATCCTCAACAACTGCAACTAAGTTTCTTGTTGGCTTTTCTCGTCTTCATAGCCTGACGCCCTTCCTTTCCTTCCTATGAAATATGGCTCAGGTACAGCGTTTTCATCGTCAATATTCAGACCCTGATAAGATCTCGCGGCGAAAAACTCTGCTCCTGATTTAGCATCCCTTTTAATTAGAGAACCAGAGTTATCCCGCAACTGCAGTGCCTTCTCTGTAGCATTAACTAAAGCAAGGGCTTCTCTGTCTTCCTTGGCGTTTTCTGATTAGGTCAGAAGTTTTAAGCGATCAATAGTTAAATGGGAATATAGACACTCTTGGTTGGGAATTAAGAACAGGCAATGACAAGTAGATCAAAGGCCACATTTGCTTAATGACAAGTTATTAGCATTATAAGAGAGAAAATTATTGACAGAACCATTAACCATTCCATTATCATTCAGTTACAAGAAAGAAACAAGGGATAGAAAGTCAGGCAATACCATGGTTATCAATATCTTCCACATATCCACCCTGCAGGAATGAAAACCGTGCTTCTTCCTGGTTTCCAGCTTCCACTTGAGGCAACTCTATTAGGTCTCGAAATTCCATTACGTACGATCCTGTCCACTGGCTTCCCCTGGGAACATAAAACACTTTAGCATAAAAATCGAGAAGGAAAGCAAATCACAACTGTCAAGCTTCTGAAAAAAGACACGTCATACGTGAGACATTCAAGCATTGATACCAATAAAGATGGAAACTAGATTCTGATAATTCATTGTATATGTAGTGCATTTTTGGCTACATAAATCAAGATCCTTTTGGTATTATGATACTTCCATTTTTTTTTTTTAAAAAAATAAATATGTAGTATTTTATTACTCATGCACAGAACCATCCCTTTTAATAACAGAAATGACCCTGCGAACTTGTTCTCAGCAAATACGATGTTTTAAAATAAAAATCTACTAAGTTCTGACAATGCAGCAGCATAAATAACATAAAATGGGTTTGACCGTTTGAGTCTCAATCAGTTCACAAAAAGATAACCACAGGAAGCTTGCTATTCCTAGAAAGAAAAATGTCATTTTCCAGTTAGTATATTTATGAATTAAAAAATGGAAAAAATAGAAACGGTGCAGGTGAAGCTGCATGGAACGAAAGAAATGATTAGAATGGATGCCAGGAAAGGGCAAAAAAGTCTGATTAACAAGTTAGTTTGAGATATAACAGGATAGGATACCTGCTGAAAGCTATTGTTGCTTCATATGGAGTAATAACTGGGGCTAGATACTCTTTGCTATCCAGTAGAGCAGTTTGGGCACAGGAGACATAAATGAAAACGTCACACTGATGAAAATCAAACTGTTAACAATAGATTCTTTATTTTCAGTCATAAAAAAAGCTATGCTTGAAGTCTCGAATGAACCAAACATTACCTCAGGAAAGTTAGCAAGTTTAGCTGGGTTTGGTCTTCCCATGACCATAGTGTAGGCCTTCTTTCCTGCCCCAGTGATGAGCTCTTTCATCTGGTGTATCATATGAAGATAACCAGCTGCATCAGCAGTTTCAAATCAAACCCCATTTTTGGTAGAACACACAAGTGTTTATACAGAAACACTTGAAACACGTAATTTTTGTTCTTAGTCATTGAAAAGATAAAAGATAACATGCATGTGGTAAGGGCAACAAGAAGACTGGTTGCAAAGCAAAAGAAACTAAAGTTTTGGAACCAAAATAAAATGAATACGGTCTAATAAAGCAAAAGTTAATATTTATGCTTAGCCATGAAAACATGGAAAAAGAAATGAAGCATT